AAAAAAATTGGGTTTTTTTTTTTTGGTTTTACTCGGGTTTGGGTCCCCCCCCCACAACCACCCCCCCCCCCCCCCCCCCCCCCACCCCCATAGTTGTGGTTGTTTAATGGGTGGAGTTGGAATCTGCTCTGTAAACACATTCCTGATGAAGGTGGAGGCCTTCCCAGGAGGAACGGCACTCACAATGTCTCTTTCTGGAGAATTGCCCGTGGCAGGAAGTAACCCCACTTGGCCTATGTGTTCTTGAGTACGCAGGGCTCCAACTGTGACGTGACAGAGGTGGGCCTGGATAATATTCAACAATGGCAAGTTAGCAGTTATAACTTTAACTCTAAGCGTGTTTGGATTTCCCGTGCCCCTGACATTTGATTTCTTAATCTATTGCAGGGTCTGAAGCCCTGTTGGCTGACAAATTAACAATACTTTATTTTGGCAAATGCTGATTTGATAGGGAGCTCATGAAATAATTGGCATTTTCTTTGATCGAATTTACAACAAGGAGGATTCACCTAAAAACCAATGTATAGACTCAAACAAAAAGCGACTTGGTTCCAGATCGTGAGCACACATCCAAGAGGAAGCTACGGAAATGTCAGACAGCTCGCTGAAAAAACCTGCATGTGCACAAAGATCGCTCAGAAACCAGGGTGAATCTGTGGTTGGTTTTTTACCCCCTTGGGGGGCAATGCGCTGCTGGCGTTGAGCCGGTGAAAAAGGCCAACTACTGTATGATGTGGTGTTTCCAAACCTCAACTGACAAACCCGACTCATTCTGCCTTTAATTGTGGAAGACGGTGTGAAAGACTTTCTGGACTTGAAGCTGCAGAATGAAGGACGATGCATCGCCTCTTCTCTCTTTTCAGACTTGACGTTGCCAGTTTCTCTCACCCTGGAGCCAGTATGCAAATGAGAAGAGTTCTCCCGGCTGAGCTGCTCTGATGAAAAGTAGCGACTAGGTCATAATTATTTGATTGTGCAATATGTGCTACTGTTCTTCTCTGATACACTATGCTACCAATATACATGATCTGGGGATTGATGATCAGTGGTTTATTTCATCTTTGTGTTACAGACATTGCTGATGTGGACTGTATCGTGATAAAAGGTTGGAATGAGACCCTGATTATAGCGTCGCAAATCCTTTTGGACAGTTGGGTAGAGATGCTGTCATCATATTTAGACCTTAAAGGCTATGGAGCTTTCTCCCTGTATGTGACCTAGTTTCATCATCACACTATCTGATCAGTTACCTACCTCATGGTGCAGGAAAACACATTGAAGCTTCAAGAGATGTAGTAGTTGCATTAAGCTGTTTTCTGTTAGGTTAGTAGCATTATTTTGGTCGTAGCTTTCTTTTCTGAAAGTTTGACCAGCATGACATAACTGGCACAAGTCGATAAAGTCTTCCCCCTAAAATAGCCGTAGTAGTTCCCATGGATCTACTTCATGCTAAGGTAGGAACATAAGGACTGCTCCTGTCATTGTATCCACCTGTTTTCTGTCTTGTAGTTTTGAATGGTAATCCACACGGCTATTGTTTGAAACACCTTGCGGAACAGTCATCTGATTGGTGGATGTGTAAACAATGGGTGGACATGAGAACATGTTCTGTAACGAGGGTAACAACGGTGAATAATTTAGCAGTCTTGTCTAGTATTTCACTGCCTTTAGGAGCTGACTGCTTTATGTGTAACGTTGTTTGTAATTGGGACTCTGTGGATCTTGTTTCCTAGAGCAGTGGTTATTAAAACGGGTGCTTTGAGATATCGGGAAAGTCTTTTCCTTGTCCTGAGGAATACGGTGCTCAGCAGTTACACTCTGGTCACAGTTAAAACATTCTGTTAATTAGCATGCTAAATGCTAATTAGAATGCAAACAAAACAGGTGGCGACCTTGAAGCCAGCACTATATTAGTTTTCACTTACTGCCGGGCTTACTGGAGCTTAATATAAAAGCCTAAAGATGGCTTTTTTTCCTCTGTTACAGTCACCGGGCTTATTTTAATTTGGGCTCTTGTGGCATGAGCTGTGGCCTTCTCGAGGAAATGAGCGCGGCTTGTGGGCTAATGGGTGTTACTCCATAATGGCAGCTTCTATATTCGGGGACATCACTCGTTCTTTTACTGCACTGACAACCGCAGTTCAGTCAGTGACAGCTAGGACAGAATTTCACCCACTTCCTTTGTTCTGTTTTACGCCCGTTTTTTTGTCTGTCAGTATTTTCCTTTGTCATTTCTCTGTAATGCTGTCGTCACACCAGCCAGTTAGCTTGTTGCTAATTAAATATCAACCTCCTGACTGTGTCCTAATGAGGTCGTCATGTATGTACAGTGTCTTCAAATTAATCTGACCAGTTTCTATTTCTTCACCTACAGACGAGGACTGAATCCACCTCACAGAGTCAAGTCCATCTCAATGACAACCTTCACGCAACTGGAAATAGAGTTCCTACAGAAACATGCCAATGAGGTAGGTATCGTCTCAATTCATCATGCAAGTGTTGGCCCTTCACAAGCAAGACTATAGATGGCCCCGACCCATAAACACATTTATATATATATTTATATATATATATATATATATTAATTACTATTTTATGATTTTTGGGCTCCATACTTAGTTATATCTAAATTATAAATAACTCCTATTCCTGTTTTGAATTTAATTGTTTTTAAAATACTATATATGTTTTTAAAAGCAATGGTTTAGGCAGAGTATTGATGAAAGTAGCTCCTTGCTAAAACCCTAAAGAAACCTATTCCTACCTGAGGGCCACCGTAGTTCTCCGACACGCTTGGAAAGGGAGGGGTGAGCGGAGGGTCGCGTTGTTGCAACCTCACCACTAGATTAAATCTCTCACACTGTTCCTTTAATTGAACTTTGCCTTTATACAGTGCAGTCAATTTCAATGAGCTATTTTACTCGATTACCAAAACATTTCAAGCATTTTAAGGATACATACTTAGTTTTGAACAGTGAAAACATTTTGTAAGGCAAATGCAGTATTACTGGCCTCATTCTTTATTTACAGTAATATATATTTAACAGAAATGGCATAAAATGTGATAAATGTCATTACATGACATGGCAGTTTTTGTAATAACACAACAGAATAAATGGATAGATGAAATTATATAAATGGCTAGAGGTTACAGTCTATATGTTTGTCATTGTCCAATCCATCATAATCCGAGTAGCACCGAGTATTTGTATTGCACAGAGGACCGAAAATGCATCATCATCCACGAGCCATTTCTGGTGAATGGAGTATGAAATAGAGCGATGCCACATGGGAAGCTCAGCCTATTAAAAGCTGTTGCAGACATGCAGGAGACTCAAGGTTGGAGCTGATGCACACGTCCTTCAAGGCTGCTATATAAAAACTACTGGCCTTTTTGTCTTTCCACAGAGAGCACTCGACACATAACTTTATACTTTCAGCAGTTGCCGTTTTCAAAATCCTATTGATTAAAAAGAAAAGGTGAGCCTGTACGTGCTGTGAGTTTATGCACCAAACCCAGCTAAAGAAATATCCGCAGCAGAGGTTTACAACATAAGAGCCCCGCTGCCTCTTGAAGCTCTATTGCTTCATCCACAGGGCAGCAGCCAACACTGAGTGCACACATGCATGAAGCCTATAAATCTCTCTCTACAGGATTAGGCAAATACTTTAGGAATGCTATCCAAGGCCAGGGAGAGGTGAGACTTAGACTGATTTCACTATTATCAAGTATTGTTTCCAGACTTGGGGCCAACTCATGTTAACACGTGGAAGACGTCCGTCTGTGCGGTGCACATGAATGGACAGTCGTCTGCAGTAGACCTGGTCTAATTTGCACATGGTTACAGTTTCTATACATCAGTGAATGCTCTTTTGAACTTGGCTTAAAGGTGATTAACTATATAACTTTGTTTGCCCGTGGCTTATCCTTCATTTGCTACTACTTCACTTCAGCTTAACCATTTTGAATGGCTAATTATTAAAGGTTGACGTTTTTACGACAAATGTTCCACCTAAAATCCCGTGTCCCGTTCCCCTGTGTGTTCCAGGTATGTAAACGGATGTGGCTCGGCCTTTATGACGACAGAACTACCTCAATACCAGACTTCAGAGAACCACAGAAGGTCAAGGAGTTCCTTCAAGAGAAATATGAGAAGAAGAGATGGTAAGTTACAAGCTGGCAGTGCGAGATATAAACAATCCTCTGCCAATGTGCGCTGCGCAGACACTTTTCTTCGTGTTGTTCTCCTCTCTCCTCTCATCGCAGTTAGCCTCGGGTAAGCCACTTCACACCCTTCTTTAAATGCACACAGTGTAGGTCGTTACAGTCAAGCTGCTTCATGTGTAATTCCTAGTTGTTCCATGAAGTTGTATGTTTCATTTTGTTCAAATATGTATGAGGTTATGCATAGTTGTTACTGGTGCATTGTGAGCGTTGGGTGAAATGAGGAATGAGCAATTATTTCAGACAAATGTAACGAACGGCGGACAAACAAGTGCCTGTCGTATTGATACTTGCAGATTAGGGTTTAGTCATTGAAAGTAAATGTTTATTTAGTAAGACTGTTGGTTTATGCAGTTCGACTGTTCCCACATGAAACTGAGATGCATCATTTGAGTTTGCAATTACTCAGTCAACTATTAGATTATTACAACTGTTAGTTTAGATGGCAGTACTTCTGTCATCAGAGTTAATAACTCTTTGAAGTCAGATCAAAGGGAGCTGAGCTTGTCTCAACATGCCTACACTCGCTGCAGACGGGCGTTTCCTCTCACGTAGGCCGCTCTGTAACACGTGGCCTGTGTGCTAGCTGTGAAAGGCATTGTACCCAAATAAAAACTTTCTGTTATCACATTTGGATTGGCAAAATGCTTGTTTTGCCAAAAGGCTGTGATACCATTATTTTTGATAATGTCACATTGTTTTAACTGTAATCATATTAGCCCAGTAGCGTGTAGTGTAGTGTAATGTAATGCATGTAATGTGTTTCCTAGGTACGTACCTCCTGAGCAGGCCAAAGTAGTTGCCTCCGTCCATGCTTCCATCTCCGGCTCCTCGAACAGCAGCACCAGCAGCACCCCTGAGGTTAGACCACTGAAAGCCCTGCTGGGGGAGTCGGCCCCCTCCCTCCACCTCAACAAGAACACCCCACCTAACCAGGTGAGAGTTATGTGATGCACATGCATATGAGGAAGTTGTTGGCTCACCCATGAAGGACTGGCAAGGTTTAACGAAGTACTTACTGAAACAACTTTGATAATTTTTTTATCCATTTTATTGGTTATCAATGAGCAAATGTACCTACTGGGATAGATTTCATGCTTTTATATGAACGAAGACACAGACTGACAAATACTCTGCCTCTTAAATGGTTTATTCCTTGTCTTCCTTAGTCTTCATGTTGTTCAAGGACTCGTACACTTAGTGCATAGTGATCAGCACATAACTGCAGTTTTATTTTTTAAATATCCATCTGTTGTCTCCACCAGTCTCCAGTGGTGAGCCGTGGACAAACCCATCAGCAGCAGTTCCATGACAAAAGGTTCGACCTCCTCAGTGACTTGGGTGGAGACATCTTCGCTGCCCCGCCCAACATGAACGCAGGCGCCGGCTCCAGTTTTGCTAACTTTGCACATTTCAACAGCCACACAAGTAAGGAACAGACAACTAATTGATTGATTGAATAACTCAAGGCAATAAATGGATGCAGGGTGGGATTGACACATTTTAGATGAACCTAATTTAAATCTATGTGTATGTTTGCCTATTTCTGTGGAGAACTGTGTGACAAAACGTGAGCTCTAGACATGTGTTGGATCTAAGATCAGCACGCGAACCGTTCCGTTCTTTAGGTGCATAAATACTGAAAGCCATCTCACCTGACTTAGAAAGTGCTTATAGGCCACAAAGAGGAGATTTCCTCTTTGACCGGAGAGATCAGCTGGGGTTATAAACTGACAGCATGTCTGACATGTACTGTGGAGCCAGACCAGCCGGTGCTTTGTAAACCCAAAGGAGGATTGTGAATTGTATTCTGAAGGCAACCGGTAACCCAGAAAGGCTTTGAGGTTGCACGGTCTGATCGTTTTGTCCTGGTTAGAACTCGTGCAGCTGAGTTGTAGACACTTTGAAATGTATGGATTGATTATATAAATAGTATTAGAGGTGGAATGTGTAATACCTTGCCACATACTCCAAACAAAACCGGGGCAGCATTTCACCTCTACTACCAGGTCCACTCAATATACATTTACTTGTTATCAGTTATTAAAAAGAAAAGCAAACTACCAACAACCGGACAGAAATATGCAAAATGCGACGAAACTCTGAGAACCAGTCAAATAACACCGCTCTGATAATCTTCACGTGTGGCGATGGCCTTTCATGTGTTTACTGTGCCACAAAGATGCTGTGTGGTCCGTGTACGTGTTGATAGATTGTTTATTGGATTAAATCCAATAAAGTGGTAGAAACGACTCGTATTTCCGCTTTGTCCGCTGTAGGCGACTACTTTGCAGGGAGAGCAGCTGTCCGCTGCCTTCAGCTAGCGACTGAGAAGCATCTAGAATTCAGCCAGCGCCAACCTGCTGTGGGAGGCTGCGCTAGCAGAATTGAAGCTAACTGGTAGCTGCTTACTAAAGGTCCATCTCCACTGGAGCTCTCGTCCACTCTCCTCTCTCTCCTGGCGGGGGAACCCACAGTGTCTTTCCGGCATTTTAAATCCGCGTTGCATTTTATTGTCACGTGACGCCACTCTCATGATTATCTCTCATATTTAGCACTCAATCCATTGTATTTGTGTTGTAGTCTGTCATCCATGCCTTTTGTCATTACATGTATGAATCCATTCTATTATCTCATCCATTGTTTTCCTCTCATTGTGTTTTTTTTTGTTCCACCTGTCTGTCCTCGTCCTGACACCACCTCAGCAGCACAGAATGCAAACGCAGACTTTGCTAATTTTGATGCATTTGGGAGCACCTCTGGGTCGACAGGTGGTTTCCCCTCCGCTCCCCAAGCCCCATTCCACCCCTCAAATACAGGTAGAGCACGTTCCCTTCACTGGACAAGTGGCACACATCCAAATCACATTGCTTTATGTGCACACAACTATTGACAATGTACATATAGTATAACACACAGAGTAATAAATAAGGATATGGAGCAAGAGATTGCAAGTGTGGAAGACAACTGTGCACCAGATGGTCACTGTACTTTTCAAATAGACCAAATAAAGTTTCATGACCAAGAATAGAAGCAAAAGTTTACATTTATAAATTCCTTCCAGGCAAATAAAAAAACAATACATTTTTCTGTCTTCCAAAACAGAAGTTGTCCTTGGCTGCAGTTGAACACATGACCTTATGTTAACATGGTATGTGCCATATGCCAGAATTTCAGAGGTAATGGAGCATGAGGCATTTTGCACGCCATTGCAGACTCATTGGAAACATTTACTCTCAGCGCCACATGTAACATATCTCTATTTTGAAAGCTCTTTTTTACATTGATAACTGTTTGGGTTCATACAGGTTACCAACTGTGTGAGAAATCAGAGGCAAAGTGATGGTTGTACACCAGAGCAGTGAACACTTCCTACACTTTAAAAGTGAGTGTTAGGTGATTGGACGAATATATCTCTTGAATATGCAGATTATTTTCCTTTTTATGAGATAAAATCGTCATAAAACACGTAAAGATCACTGTGCTCTCATTAGGCAGAGGATTAAAGTAATATACATTGTGCAAAACACCAACACGTGTTACTGCTGGGAATATTATATGATTTACATATTACTGTATATATGGGGGCCTTAACATTAGTATTAATATAGGCTGCTGTGGTTTTGCACAGTGTAATTTAGTTGAATCTATGCTTGGCTCCTAAGGCTTGCATTTTAATCACATACGTTGTGTTCTTAAAATATATTCTACCACATACTGTTGTCCTTGTCTTACCTGTGTTTGTCATTCTGGTCTATATTTTCCCTTCTCTCTCACATACATACAAAAAAAGTGACTGTTCCTCAAACACGCACACCCCTCCTTAGCCTCAGGACAATGTTGAGTGCTATAGTGCCCTCTGCTGGTGTACATTGATAACTTCCTCTGTGAGAAGCTGGACAGTGATCTTTTTAGTATGCCTATTGCTTGATGCATAAAGCTCCCATCACTCTAGTGGCTCTGTGAGATAATCCCTCTCTCACAGACACTGAATCACTCTGCTATCTCGCCTAAACTGTCCGTTCTGTTTCGTGTGTGTCTTTCACCCTTTTGCTTCAACAGCACTTGATTTGCTTTGACTTCACGCTCTTCACTTTTTATCTCTGGTTTAGTTGACACCGTTTCTTTTGTTTCTCCGCCCTGTCTTCCATTGCTCATTGCCCCATTTCCTCCCTCCCTCTTTGATTTTTGGCTGCCAGCATTCACTGCTCTTTCATCCAGCCGCAGTATGGGTGAGTTTGCCACTGGTCTGCCTCTTCAGGTTGCACACAGTAAGTATCTCTCTCTCTCTTTCTCTGGGATTGCCCTCTTAACAGTTTTCCACCATCTAATATAGCCACTCTGTTCCTTCTCTCTCTGGATGTGATGTATGTCTCACTGGAGCTCTTCTTGTGTTTGGATCTCTGAATCGCTGTTGACTGGTTGAAAACAGGGATACAAGGCTTTGATGGTTGCTGACATTATTGTGAACCACTGTGCAGTTTAGACCAAATTGAAGCACATGACAAAGTAACGATGCGAAAGAGAAGAGTCATGATAACAACAGGATAGAACACAACAATAATGTGCCCTTCATGACTATAATGATGAGTAACTTAGTACATTTTCAGTAAGAAATAATACATGAAGCAACATGATACCCAATGATTCCTTTATGAGGAGAGTTTCTTCAGAAAAGGGATTTTGGGTTTAAGTATTCGGCTAACAGCCTAAATACCAGGTGTGTGTGTTAAGGTTGAGAACTGGTGTAATGGCTCAACATTGACATCCCTCCCCTTCAGGATCACAATAATAACCGCTCTTGATTTTCATCTGCAAGCCTTCGTAGATCCCTTTTTTAAAAGAAGGAGAAGTACCTTGAATCGGCATTGTTGTCAAACATAAACATACAGTGTGAATGAAATGACACACAGGTATGTAGAGCAGTAAAATCCTAAGCCATTCTTGAATAGGCTTCTGTGTTTTTTGTCTTTGCTCTTAAAAAGCAATGACTACCGCGTTACTGTTGTTTGGTAACAATCTTCGATGTGGTTGAAAGTGATGGCCTTCTCAATACTGAGCCCAGTAATGCCTACAGGGTAGGTGGGCAGACCAAAGATCTTTGACCTTTAACTTGTTTTCCATGCCACTGTTTACACGTTTTGGGTTGTTTTTTATTTGCGACTCCCTTTGTTCACAGTATGGTGCTGAGCTCAGATGTAACCGAGACACTCAAGAAAGAGGCTGTTCTGTGCATCTTGTGCCTCAATAATGTTATACGTCCCTTAGGTTCATAGGCTAATGGAGAACCAGCATAGTGCAGTGTTGCAGAGGCCATGTTTTTAGAAGTGTTGCTACCCATCCTATAGATGATGAAGGTAGCCCAGCCCGGCTTCACCCTCCATGCTGATCCCGTCTCCCGCTCCGCCCTGTTAATGCTGTCACTCACAACCAGCAGTCGAGACCCCCTTTTGACTTGTAATCTCTCTCTTTCATGCAGGTAGCGCCTCAGGTGGACTAGCAAATGCCAATTTTGCAAATTTTGCCAACTGCCCCAAATCGTGTAGCGCTGACTTTGGATCCTTCAGCTGCTCCTCCCAGAGTAACTCCACAGGAGCCGGCAGAGATGCTGTACAGAGTACTAGCCTCCCTGCCGATAGATACGCAGCCCTGGCTGACCTGGATAACGGGTTTAGCTCTGCCAAAACAGAGCAAGGTAAACTTCTCCTGCCTAGCCTGTTTCATAGGTCCTCATTGTAGGGATAGAGGTTAACCAAAAAAACACAACTAACAACATGAAATCAGGCGCATCGCTTTAAGTCTTCGTCCCAGTGCAGGGACAGACATAGTCTCTCTCAAAACAGGGCCGATTGATTTTCTAGCAAACATCGGAATTTTAATCACTTACTATTTTTTTTTTATGCCCCCCCCCCCAAATCAGCCGGCTGGCCTCAGTACTGCTGAGCCAGCCTGTGTAAAGACAACAGGCCACTGCAAATGATGGAAATCCCTTCTTGCTGTGAAGAATGCTATTTGTATTGGTTTCATTTCACTTGGTCAGAATTCTGGCACTCGGGCATCTGTGAATTATACTGGTTTTAGTTTACAAACTGTATGTATGTGCTTCCCCATTGTTTTTAATAGGTTGAATATGGCAGATATCTCCGGAAATTTGAGTTTTCCTCCTCGATGAGTTGAGTTGAGGTGGACTGAACCCGACTCTGCTGTCCTGTGCTCTTTATTCCAGGAGGTGGGATTCCTGTTGGGGTGAGCTCAGCCGCGGCGGCAGGAGTATCTGGTTTTCCTCAGAAGCAGTCAGCGATGTCAGCAGGGGGGGACCGCTATGCTGCTCTAGCTGAGCTTGATAATGTCTTTGGCCCCTCGGTCCCTGCCACCAGTGTTTACAACCCCACCAGCACCTCACAAGGGTGAGACACTAAACAAACACACACACCACAGTAAGCCCCCTGCTATAGTGGGAACCAAACGCCTAAATCTACCAAATACAGTTTTTAAAATAATTTATTAATGTATGTTCATGTCAGTGCATCTAATTGAAGACATTCATTTTTTTTCAGAATACATGATCGACTATCTGGCAACTTCACTAACAAACACTTTTATCCAAAGCAACCTACAAACATACAGTGAGCACACTCCCAGCACACAGGATTGTTTTTGGTCTTCTCTTTGTGCTTCCGTGATGAGCTTATGTGTTGACTGTGTTCCACTGCAGGGGTATGTTTGGCCCAGAGACTGGGATGTCAACTGCACACGCACAGCAGGCGCTGCCTGGCATGGCTCAAGGTTTTGGTGGTGAGTGAACCTACAGGGTTGTTTGTGCTAATTGTTCTCCCTAATTTAAATCCGTAATGATTTATAAAGTCAGAAGTAATGTTTAAAACACGGGGCAGACCCAGGGTGAGCTACAGTGTACTATAGGTAAATATAGAGTGTTTCAGTGTTTTGTACTCTTGTGGGAGGACTTGAGATGTCAAGAGCAGGTTGCAGATGTGATCAGAGAGGGTGGATCACTAATCAGTGAAAAATCATCATAGTATTTCACACATGGATACACATTGTTTGAAAAGATGTGGACTGTATGTGCTCTAAAATTACAACAGTTTTTCCCCCCCGAAATGTCACCATCTTACTGCCATGAGTTTTGTTGAAAGACACTAAGGCTGAAAAGATCACCAACAGGGCATCATTTATGTGGGAGCGGTATAAACATGTTGAGGCGTCCTCCATGGATCAATGCTTATGTTTTTAATATATTTAGGTTGTGCACTTTATTGTTCTGTTTCACACTTGTTTGGTGACTTGATGCCTCTCTCTCCCAACAGCTCAGTCAACTAATCCGTTTGTAGCTGCGCCAGCAACGGCTCCCACCAACCCGTTCCAGAGCAACGGCAGAGCAGCTAATATGGCGGCAGCGGCTGCAGCAGCAGCGGGTGTGTGTGTGTGTGTGTGTGTGTGTCTGGGCGGTGTACTATATGTGCTACACATACACAATCAACATATTCAGTTAATGCAGTAGTATTATGGTTTCCACAACATTTTCCTTTTAACAGTAAGAAAGAGGCGTACACGCTTTTTTAAAGACATATTAAAAAATGGTAGTGCACCGTAATAATCTAGACTTTCATTAGCTTGGTACTGTCATAAAATGGTTAATTCAATGAATAAACCCAGGAAACTGTACTGTGACTCATGTCGGTGACTTTGCTTGATGGGTGTCGGTCGTAGCATTTCTACCAGATATCTGATTGCTCAGTTGCCACCTGGCTGTCTTAAAAAAACGCAGTTTGATTCCACTTCTTGTGCTCCTGTGTGGGGATCAGAGGACACTGGTGCTACACTCACTGCAAGTGTTACAGCCTCATGTCTGACGGCTTGTCTGGTGACGACCGTAATCTGCATGTGTTTCAACTGTACAAACACGTGCACCTTGAGATTCTGAAAATCACTCATTTAAGTTTACTTCAAGTATATTGCTTTCTAACAAACTGCTGATATTAACATCTTAGTATTTGTATGATTGTGTTTTCTGCTGATGTGTGCCAGCTCCTGTGTAATGTCACATTTTATAGGCAAGTGTTACGTGCTGTGAAATCATAATTATTTGAATAAATAGAAGTAATAGGTGCAAACCATTTTTTTCATCCCTGTTATTTAGTTGTATGCCTGTAGATGTCTTGTCCAGGCTTGTTTAACCAGTGCCTGTCCTGCTGTGTTGCAGCATCATTTGGCACGGGCTCCATGAGTATGCCAGCTGGATTTGGGAATACTGCAGCCTTCAACCTCCCCACCAGCTTTAGTGGAACGTTCCAGCAACCATTTCCTGGCCAGGCTCCCTTTCCTCAGCCTCCTGCGTACCCCCAGCAACCCAACGGTGTGTCTTACTGTAGATCATCTGTATCAATAATGCTCAAATTCAAGCTTGCATTTGCATCTGACTGAATGATTGTCACATCACTGCACTTACATCCCTTAAAAATGTCCGTTTGGAGTCATGCCATTCTATTCAATGAGGTTTGCTCACATGAACCCAAGTGAAGAAGTCGTCTTCTAAATGACAATGTACATTTCTTTCAGGTGGAGGATTTGCATCCTTTGGTCAGGCCAAGCCTGTTGTGACTCCTTTCGGGCAGCAAATGGCCGGACCTATGCTCTCTAGCAACCCGTTCCTGGTTAGTGAGATACAGAAGAATGAAGGGACTTCGGTCCCATGAGCCAAGACTATTGTTGATAGAGAATAAGCTGTTGCATTATTCCTCATTTGTAGTTCATCATTGATTTTATATTGATGGATAGTGGATTTATGTTGTCCCTCTCAATGCTAAGTAGTAATAAGTATGATTTGTGATGCGTTGGTGTATCTCCTTTTCCTTGTAGGGTGCGGGTCCATCTGCGCAATATCCAGCAGGAGGCTCTTCAACGAATCCCTTCTTATAGCGATCCGTCCAATCCGCTCCACCACAGGGTCAACAACTGGCGCGCTTGCACTTATTGCACTGTATGTTTCACAAGTAGCTTTAAACACAATGTTTGTAAGGATTTGTATTTTGTATCGCAGTTTGTCACAAATGGAACAATACGACAGACAGTCATGCTGACGCTATCATTGGCTACAAATCAAAGTGATGGTATGTGCAGAGGGAGAGGCTGATCCCCTCGTCTCTATTTAACCTGTGAACTGGCCTAGCCTCTACTGAACCACAATGTATAATCAAACTGGCTGAAAACTAAGTTATTGCATACACTATATCCCATTCATCATGCTGCAACTCTGTACATATTCATTTTCTTTTTGGAAATTAGCGCTTTGTGCATATCAGTATTTGTATCTTACACATAAGATTTGTTAAGACAGAACTGTTGCTTGGATAAGTTAATTGGTACCGCCACTTACTGTATTTGTGAAGAACCAAACTGTTTATGTGTGCAGGTTCCTTTTTAGGTTAACTGTTCTCACTGAAGAAAAAGAAAAAAAACGCCTATTCTGTTTGCAAGAGATGAAAAGAGTGACTGCTCCATCCGGGATGTGTCCCGTGTCCTGCTGACAGACGCCCAGGTCACACAGCTCCTGAACTACAGTCAGTCCATAAGTGAATAAAAGGAATGGCTAATGAGGTGAAAACCACTTGCATTGGGTATTGGAGAATTTTAAGCTAATGTGTAAATATATACAGCATATATAAATATCTATAAAAATGCATTTTAAGTAAGAAGAAATGACCAAACCATTCATTTATATTGATGTATGGAAAATCTTGTATATTTGTTTTGTATATATTAAAGAAAAAAAGATTTATATTCGTGGTGTTGCAGTCAGTAATTTGAAGCTTTTGTGCTTTTATATCGAAGTGTGTTCACTGACACAGTGGAGACCAAAAGCACAAGTGATTATCTCAGCTGGTAGTCGTATTTAGAATCTGTGTTCCTCAGAGTCTGGAGGTTCTTGTTTGACCGGAGGGGCGGACTCGTGGGACTTGTTGCTTCTCTGCATTCTCCAAATGGTAAACAGTCCCCGAAGTGAAAAAACAACCGCTATGAGTGAGAAGTAGCTGGCGTATATGGTGAACTGCAAAAACAAAAGTGTTTGTAACGGTGATGAGTGGACATACAAACAGTTCTACGACATTTACAGAAGACCCGAATGACATTTTCTGATCAGACTCCTCACCTGAGGAATGATGCCGAGGCCCAGTCCGCCACTGTCGACCACAACAGAAGTGATGATCGTCTGTAGAGCCAAGGCTCCAAAGTTGTTTGCGCCGAAGACCAGGGCATATCTTTCCATTGACAGGTCAGCCGCAATCTGGTACCTAATAATGAGTATTGTTTATTTAAGTGCACTTTTCCCTGCTCTGCCTTCAATAAAATTGGTCAGAATAATGGTAAAACAACCCCTTTCTTACATGGCTATTGTTATCAGCAGCATGTACAGGCACTTGAAAATGACATAACCACTGTAGCAGACCCAGATGTTGCCGGTGAAGGTCATGAGGAAGAGTGCTGCTGCCCCAAGTCCAGAGAAACCACCCAGGGCCAGCTCTCCCCACTGGTCCCATCTCACCTCAGTGAAGCCTATACCGTACGCTGTTGCTGCACCTGCGAACACATTGATTTAGGATTATTGTAGTAGAGATGACGATTGATTGAGCACTGAGAATATGGGTTCGATATTTATCACCAAAAGCTGTCAACTCATTTCCCGGTTTCTAATCAAATCTATACTTTGAACATGGTGTAATAGAAGAGTTTCCTTTCGTAGGCCGTATTCTGTACTGGAAACCTTAAATGACTATATATTTGCTTGCCCAACAGGTTGGACACTGCCTCCACGCCTCCATTGTAGATGCTGAAGTTCTGAGAAGGCTGCACATGCTCCCACAGCACCTGCAGGGTACATTGCAATGATCCTTTAGGTGATTGTAAGGTATTTAATACCCACGTTGAAGTGATCACTTGATATGTGCAAACAAAGCAGGTGTGTGGCTTTTTCATTTAAACCTTTTTGTTAATTGTGTCTTCACAACTGACCTGAACGTAGTTGACAGTCTGGTTATAGCCGCAGGTGGCCATTGCCCACCACACTGACCAGTAGAGGAGCTGTCTGGAGGAATAGCACTGGAGGAAGTCCCTCCACAGCTGGAGGAGGACTTGGCTGCAGCTCTCTGCGCCAACTGACTCCTCAAGGTCCTCAGCCTTGGGCCCTTTCTCATCCGGTCCTGGTGTTGCTTCATCCTCTGTTTCCTCTTTCTCCACCTTCTCATCTCTCATGTTTTCCAGTGATGCTTTTGCTCTGCTTGTGTGTTCTGTTGCATCCCCAGTCCCATACACGTGCCTCTTTGTTCCCCCCGTTGCTATTTTCTGTCCAGTACGTCTGCGGTGAAAGAACATGCTCTGCTGTGGCATTGGCAGGAAGCAGGACACGAGAAGAGCGACGGCAGTGAGGACCAGAGTAAGCATCAAGATGTTGTTAAATGACATGAGTTCGAAGCTGATGAGCAGCTGGCCCAGCACAGAGCCCACTGTGTACCCCAGGAGCTGGACACTGCGGCTGTAAGAGGTGGCCTTCCGATACCTCTTCAGATCCACAACACTGTAAAAAAAAAAGCAAATTCTAAATGTCATGTCTGTCCCGACAATGCGGCATTCAAACCCCTGACAGTGTCCTTTGAGTGCAATATATGACCTGTAGATGTAAGAGAAGTAGGCCACCTCGCTGGCTGTCACCACCCCGTAGAAGAACTGCATGGCCTGCATGGCTGGTACACTTTTCAGCCAGAGTAGCATCGCTGTGGTGATGAAGAGGGTGACGCACTGGAACACCACCACAGGCTTGTAACGCAGCCAGTCAGTCAGCAGGAACACCGGCACCAGCACAGATAGGTACGAGTACGTCCACACCGGGAAAATTTGATTGTTTACCTGATGAGGAAAAACCAACAAATAAAGAGCTTTTGCGTGAGAGACGGGATCTGTCCTTCCTCATAGCAATAAGCAATAAAAAAAAGGTTTTATAATCTTGATTGGATTTTACCACTCAAGTCATAAAGATAGTATTTATGTATTTAATGTAATTCACCAACTTGGCTATTTTGTAATCATTAAACATGTTTAAACAGTTTCTTCAAGCACCAAAAGGTCAGTAAATTAAGCATTTTAGGTTTGGGTGTCAAAGCCTCAAAGCCGACTAGGCAAACTGAAATAGTGTACTTACTCAGCCACGGTTACTCTTTTGACTGTCTGATTTACATTATTGTATCTTTCTGATTCATGAATTGCTAAAGTAACTTACTTATTTGTGTTATTACCTGTTCTGTTGTCAGATTCTTGTCTGGTCCTGTCAAATATAGGATAAGGAAAGGCTCCAGGGGTTTAACTGTGCTGAAGAATCCGTAAATGCACAGCAAAGTAGTGGGATACCTCCAGTCTGTCCTCCATCTCCTCACTGCCTCCATCTTCTGCCGTTCTTTGTCTCAGGTGTGTATGTATCTATATGTTCCTCTGCGCGCTACTCTTCCCGTCTTGCCTAGTTGACGGAAACCCTTGTGGTTGTCTAAGTATTGAGCTTGTTTGGTCAATCAGCAACCCGGTCAAAGAGCAGCACAACCTTGGTTAAGTTCCAGCTCAAGCCGAGAAACACGTGTCACAAATCAAACAGGAAACCAGACAATTCTCAGGAACCTTAATGTACTACTAGGTACTAATCGGTAATAATTGCAGCTTCATTGAGCTGTCTGGCTTTCTCAGTAGATCCTTGTAGAGATAACTAATTGTAAAAGTAATATCAAAAATTTCCATGGAGTTAGTTCGCAACTAAAGACACCAATTTGGAGGCTATTACACGCTCAGTTTTACACTCATTAAAGAACTGTTATTCTGTTAAAGTACAGGCTTAATATGAGGCTTAGTCCAGGTTTAGCATTATTAAGCCTGGACCCCACTCTAGACCCCCTGTGGTAAATATGAGTACATTTTTCACCCCAAATCTATTCCCAGAGAAGGTAGGATAGCAGTTATGAAATATATGTTGGCACTGAATAAGTATTATTGTGTTTATTGTTATACAGTATGTGTATCATTAGCCTTTTGGAGAACCAAGGCTATGAAGGTGTTAAATGGACTGCATCTATAAAGCGCTTTTGTAATCTTAGCGACCACTCAAAGCACTTCGCAACACAAGCCAGCATTCACCCATTCACACACAAATCCACACACACACTCATACACTGGTGGCAGAAGCTGCCATACAAGCTGCCACCTGCTCATCAGGGGCGATGAGTAATCCCAGGCACACTCACAGCAATCTTTGCCCAAGGACATTGTGACATAGACTCCAAGGGCCAAGGATCGCACCACCAACCTCCCGATTAGTGGTCGACCGCTTTGTGCTTAAATCACACGTGGCCCCTGTCTGCCCCCCCCCCCATTTGAAATAGTCTAGAGCCACCACTGTTAAAGTATTATTTAATTCATCATAAACAAATGGATCAATCACCTTCTCATTTAATAGTATCGAGACAACACAGTCTGTTGACCTGGGTCAGAAACGCTCAGCAGAGATCACCTCCACACTGGACTCTTGCTCCTTGGTTTCCGTGTGCTCAGGATTGCGTCGGTTTATACAGGCGATGTAGGTCCCCCGAATCAGAAAGAGCACAGAGATGATGGCGTAGTAGCTGCCGTAGATGATGAACTGCAGAGAAAGCCCTCAGTCATCCTCGACATCATTGTTTTAGTCCATTCTATCGATCAATCTGCATTAAACCTGTCTGCATGTAATAGTGAATGATAACCACCGGGTGTCGCCCTCTCCTTACAATCCAGTGTTTGTTATCCAGCCGCTTACATTCTTGATTTCAGAGTGACTTCCCTGTGTTCTGCCATTTCAATTCATTGATAAATGAATACTGTGTCTGCACATACCTGTGTCACAATGTCCAGTCCCAGGGCAGCTTCATCAACAACTATAAATGTTACAATCGTCTGCAGTGAAAGGGCTACAAAAGTGTTGATCCCGAATGTCAAGGCATAGCACTCCCTGGAGAGGTTGGACGCAATCTGAAATCTAAAATGAAGAAGTGCTTATTATTTCTGAGAGAACTGTGCTGTATGCTTGAACTGTCATAAGCAATGCAGAATAGAGCTGACAAAAGTAATCACATTTCTTGACAGACAATTCATATTTTGGGTCACTTTTCCAGCAAAAGTGATTTGAGGAGTTGAGTACATGTTATTTCAGTGAACTTACGTTGTGATGGTGATAAGAAACATATAGCAGGACTTGAATATGACATAAGCACCATAACATGCCCAGATACTGCTGGTGAGCGCCATCAGGAACACAGCACCCGTCCCGATGGCTGAGAACAACCCTAACGCCAGCTCTCCCCACACGTCCCAGGTCACCTTGATGTGGGCCACGGAGAAGGCTGCTGCAGCACCTGGCACCGTGAAAAAGAAGGATGAAGTGATTAATCCGTCATTCCAGTGGACACAGCCTCCGCTGAGCCTGTCCATCCTTGTTGTGATTCCTTTATTAATCCTAACAACATTTCTTTCCTTGAACAAATGGCAATGCAGCTTCTAAACAAAGCTTAAATGCACTTTGCTGGCCTCCGCAGCCCCTGCCTATTATGATGAACCACTTTCACCCAGCTCTTGGAATCAACTATCGCAATAATCCGAGAATCTATTACCGCTCTATCTCCTTAATTGAAGCAATTACTCTTCTTCTTCTCATGCTGAGCCAGGTTGGGTGGAAGCCAACAGGACCATGATGCTGCTATTCCCTTTCAAAATCAATACACATTTTCCATTTAATCAGGTATCCCGTACAACCAAGAATAGCTTGGTTGTTTTCTTATAATTGCAAGTTGTTGTATGTCGATGTGCCATCAGCCTTTAATAACCTTGTTAAATTGTATTTTGTTCTATATGTTGCGGTTGTGCTGCAGTGTCCTGCCCTCCCCTGTGTTAATTGAACTCCTGGTTCAATCAGTCATCCCCTGCTTCTATGAAACTCTTCTTCTGTGAGATTAAAGGGTCCCAAAGCAACCTTCCCTCTTTCGTTACATGTTGTGCACATTATTCTTAGAAAAGTTAAATCTTTAGTTTATGTGTGGTTAATCCTGTTTCCACAATACCATTTTTGCAAGCTTGTATTTATTTAAAGCTGGTGATATTTATGTTTCTGTTATTGTCAACAAATCACATGTCAAGACCAAAACCAACAATGTGTTAGTCCGTCAGTACTTTATGAGTTCCCAAACCTGTGACCCACAGCCTATTCTTTTCTATTGAAAAATTGGGTTAAAAAAAGGGAAACAAATATATAGTTTTATCTTTTAAAAATGACATATTTTCATAAAACAGCTGGGTGCTGGAGCTTTTTACAAGTGTTAGTCAAAGAGGAGTATGTAGTGCTTTACATATCATCCAGTGCAACAGTGGAGCTTATTGATGAGTTTCAATCGTTTTTGGGCAACAATGGAGGTCCACGGCACAGAGGAACAAGATTTATCAATGCTCGGCTACACAACAATAATTAGTCGGATAAATTCATTGTAAATGTTGTTCTTTTTATGGGATGTGTTGATATTAACACAAATCTAGAACATCACCTGAATTAGACTGAAGTAGCTCAAGTATGATTTTATCTGAAATGGGAACCACAAAAAGGTTTTTTGTCTTTCTGTATGATTTTCTCTCACGCACGTGTGCACGCACACACACACACACACACACACACACACACACATACACCTACAACCAGTCTTACCCACAAGGGAGCACGCAGCCTCTACACCTCCGTTGTAGATGGATGATGTGGCAGATGGTTCTATATGGTCCCACATTAGCTGGATGTAGTTGAAAACCTGCACGTAGCCAGCTGTGGCAAGAGCCCACCACAGGGACCAGTAGATTAAATTCCTGCATGGAGGTAATTAATAAAACAGATTGTAACCGCGATTGTAATTAGAAGGATATCCTACAATCTAAAAATCAGTACTACTATACGACTACATCAGAAAAACACCACAGTGAATAATCATTTGTTCAATTGCTTTAACAAAAAAACATTAATGATTAATAGGTGTGTGCTCAGCAGATCAGTACTTAAAGTGTGACGTGTATTGATGAGTAAAGTAAATGCCTGGAAGAATAGGACTCCCTGACGCTTTGCCAAAGTAGATTGCCCACAGTGGCCACGTTTTTCCCGCTGCACCAGCCAGCACTGCCATTATGCTCCATCTTCTCCTTCACTGAGCCAGCTTCGTCCTTCTCCACCACTGGCTCCTCAGGCCCGTCCAGTCCCAGAGGCCCCTCCTGCTGGGACTGCGGGACCACAGCTGCTGCCTTTTCCCCTTTGAAGAACAGGCTCCTCTGGGGCATAGGCAACCAGAAGGAGATGAGAAAAGCCACGCTTACATTCCCCAGAGTGATAGCATTGATGTAGAAGTAGTCTATTCCTGTCGATTACAGTTCAAACTGTGTCAGTGTTTGCTCAAATTGCTTAAGCCTTTTTGAAATTGGAGATTTTCTGTCTTGAAGAGTGTTCTTCATGTTAATAAAGAGACTTAATAATTTTTTCTTTCATTGCTTTATTATAGGCTAGGATGCCCTACCTGCCAGGGAGACCAGCACTTGGCCCAAGCTGGCACCAAATGTATATCCAACCAGCATTGCACTTCGCAGGTAACCGGTGGCTCTTTGGTAATTCTCAACTGGAATCACACTGTAAATGTAGGAAAAGTAGGCCACCTCTGTGGAAGTCACTACAGCATAGTTGACCTGTTGGTGGGATGGAACAGTTTTAAAGAGATTGCTGCCTATTATGAAGCCCCTTGTACCAGTAATGCATAACATAATGCAATCTATCTTTAGAAGTTCTTCTTTAGTTATACTGTCTAACAGTGGGAGGATAGTATTTAGCATTATCTAAATCAAATATATATATATATATATATTTTTTTAAACTTTAAGTGCATTCCAGGATCCCAAGTGCTGCAGCTTTTGATTATTCAGAATACAACTTTACTGTTGCATAAAGAACATTTATACTATTCAACTCTTTTCAAACCTATTTAATACATTATTCAGTGGACCTGAAGGAAGACCATAGCAGGCAGACCCGGGGCAAAGCAGAGCAGGACATAGTTGGTGACCAGGAAGAGCCCCTGCACCACAATGACGGGCTTGTGCCTCAGGAAGTCAGCCAGGAGGAAGACGGGGAAAAGGAAGGCCAGGTAGGAGTATGTCCAGATCGGGAACAGGTAGTTTGTCACCTGCAAGAAACTACAATCGTGATCCAGACAGTTTCTGCCTCTCATCCAAAATAAAGATAATGGCTCCTAATAAAAATGATGTTCATAACAGCATGTATTCGTCTGCCAAGCTTACCACTTCTCCAGAGATGTTCTTATTTGGTCCAATTAGGTATGGTGTGAGGAAGGGCTCTGCTACTCTGCAGTTAGCAAAAAACCCATAGAGTGACAGGACAGCAGTAGGGTAAGCCCAGCTGGATGCCCTCAGTTTGGCACAAATGCCCATGTTTTTACCTCTGCAGAATTTCCAAGAGAGATCGTGTCTTGTTTTTATTTCCAGGAGCGTTGCCTGAGCACCTTGTTCTGTGGTGGAAGTCGGGCTACCTGGACTTTTCCTCAGTTCATTGGCCATAGGCTATCAGTGTTCATAGTAGCTAGAATATACACTCTTATGTCTTTATGATCTGCATGTGTCACAGTTTATGAGCAATAGACTTCAACCTGTTAGGAAAAAGGATTGCTGAGAGGTGCAAGGTATTGAGCAGCCGGACTTAAATTGGCATGAAAAAGTCATGCTGCTTAGTAACCTCAGCACATATTCCTGTATATTCCTCTCGTACCTAGTAGGCATAACATAGCTTCATCACTGGCTACTCACAAAAAACTCAAGAAATTCAGGCCCAACTTTTTCAAGGGGCCCCCTTTCCTTTCATCTCCTTGTGCAATGCACCCAGGATGTGCAAATAAGAGAGCAGTAACTAACATCTTATTTGTTTTAGCCAAGTTGACGTTAGAGTTCTGGAAAAGTTTCCCCTATGATCGTACTGCGCATGCCTTGTGGGTGCACGCTGCATGCGCCTCGAGTCTGTCGTCCTGGAAACGGTTTGTTGTTAGCTGATGTCGGAGGGGACAGGTCGATTTGAAGTTGCCTGAAAAACATCGAAAATGAAACTCAAGCGGTTCCTTCTCAGATACTATCCGCCGGGTAATACGACTACTTTTAATGTGTGCTAATTACGTCCTCTTTAAGGGAATGTGCCACTGATATAGAGGAATGTTTTCAACTTTGACAACTACTGTGCTAACACTAGCTGCAAAACTATATTGTTGGTTAACTGAGTAAGCGTTAAGCCTAGCTAAGCTAGTCTATTCAATTCTGCCGGCACGAGAGGCCTTTCCTGGTTCAATTGGTTTGTTCTGCTCGCAGGTATAATCTTGGAATATGAGAAAGGAGGATATTTGAGGACCAAATCGATCGACCTGTTGGATTTGACTCCAGAGTGCGTGAGTTGTATCCAGTCATGTTAGCTAGCTTCACTGTGGTTAAACTGATTACTATGTGATCGTTACATATAGCCCGATCTGTCACCTCAGCACTCAATATGAGGTCAATGATGGGGTTCATCACCCAACCACCCAACCAACATACATGTCCACTGTTATGAATTTGCACTATTTAGCCTAACCATCTGGGGTTAAGTTAGTAACGCTAGTTGTAGGTAAGTTATAGGTTTAAAAACAAACAAACAAGTGCCTTACCACGATCTGGTTTATATATTATTTTATGTTTCTGATACTCATGTAACATTTTTTTAAATGAGAAAGTTGTTTTAGAAACCACATTACAAATCATTTGTCCCTTGAGGATAAGAAAGGCTCATACTGGCACTTATAAACGTACCAAAATCAAAAAGAGTAAGAGTAGTGTTTCTCCCCTGCATATATTTGGGTAAAGAGCTTAGTGAATTTAATGCCTGTTAAGCTTTATTTAATCTTCAACAGTCAACAGCTACCCAACATATTTGACCTCTAAGATTTACTAACATTATTATTATAATTATTATTTTGTACGTATTTTTTCCTCATGTTATCGCTTTTTAAACTATCCTTATCAGGGGAGCTTAAGTTTAAGAATGTGAAAAGAATAAACATATTTTTCCCCACCTTGCAGAACAAACCCAGATGAGTTGTTGGCCGAAATCAGGCAATCGGAGCCTCTGATCACCGAGTCCCGGGCTGTTCAGGTCAAACAGCTGATCCTTCGACTTCAGCAGAAACATGGCCAGCAGGACCACCACAGGTTCTGTTTCTTTAAGGTCAGACACTGGACTCATACTTACATTACTGGCCAAATATAAATAAATCAACACAATGACATGACATCTAGATTAAATGAAATATCAGATTTAGCTACTAAGATGAACGGATGAATTGATTTTTGTTTTACTCTATTACACACAGGCAGCTTAAAGTATTTTTTGGCAACATCAGTTTATTACAGCAGTATATTACTTCCCTGATCGTTGCTCTTTATGAGTGTTATTTACATCCGTGGTAAGTGTGACTAGTAAAATTAGCAAGTGCTCCAAAAAGACACTAGAGAGCAGCAGTGGTTAGGTTATTGAGTCTTAGAATTAGAAGCCAAGTAAGCATGCCAACAGTCTAATAAGATGATAAAAACAGGTGGTTCGTGGGTGTCTTAGTGAATACACAAGGCATAATTGGTAAGAGATTAGGGTTTGTTATGTGGCTGTAGGTCAGAGGATATGGAGGTTTTCTGTTCGTGTCTAAAACTGGTGACTCGGAGAGAAAATCCTTTCCCGTTAAGTCAAAGTCAGAGTAATTAAATATGGGTATTACATGGGTAATCTTAAAGATGAATGAAGTAAATAACTATATTGCCTCGGAGGTTTTAGCTAATCTCTCTCTGATCTTTTTTTTCTTGTAGAGGCTTAAGGCGCACATACTGCCGCTGACCAACGTTGCCTTTGATAAATCCGGGTCACGGTAGGTTTATCTGCACCACACAAAATTCTCTCACTTTGTAATAAAGGAAAAGCTATGTATGTATCCATGCATTTTTCTCTCCTCTCCTCTCTAACACTCTGCAGGTTTATAACTGGGAGCTATGACAGGACTTGTAGAGTTTGGGACACAGCCTCAGGCACAGATCTGCACACGCTAGAGGGTCACAGGAACGTGGTTTATGCAATCGCATTCAACAACCCCTATGGGTAAAATCAGCTGCTGCAGCAAATCTCTCATAGCATCTGAGACTATTGCTCTATTTGACGCTCAGTTTTCCTTGTTTTACTTTATCTTTCTGAAACTTAGAGACAAGATTGCCACCGGCTCTTTTGATAAGACCTGTAAACTGTGGTGTGCTGAGACGGGCAAATGTTTTTATACCTTTTGCGGACACACGGCAGAAATAGTATGTATGACCATCTGTTTTAACTGAAAAAAATATTCCAGTACTGTTTGTTTTTAGTCAACTGTTGTCGCATAAGCTATAGGCTACTGTACAAAGTCAGTATTTATGCACATTTTTACACTGCCTTTAGGAAGGCCAACTGAGCATTTCAATTGCATAATTTAATTGTTGTACTAGTATTACATTCTAGTGCTGAGATAGTAAATTAGTCGCACATCCTTTTTTAGCTCTGTAGCTGCATCCAGCACTAGCAACTGTTAAAGAGAGTTTTGTACCATGCAGGTGTGCCTGGCATTCAACCCCCAGAGTACACAGGTAGCCACAGGGAGCATGGATGCCACTGCCAGGCTGTGGGATGTGGAGACTGGGGAGGAGGTGGCCACTCTGACTGTGAGTAATCTTTTCTTCTCTTACTCCATCCCAATGCCTCCCTTGCTTTTTTTTCTCCCCCCGATATCCAGGCTCACATCCATTCATTATTAATGCATTCATTAACAGTTCATTCACTTCCAAGAGTAATTATTCCTAAATTGAGTGTTGTTACCCCCGCTGATGGTCAGAGTACTTTCCACCCCCACATATCCACTCATGATCTGATGGTGAGTGTAACTGCAACTCTTTAATAATAATAAGTAGTGAGCTCTCTTTGATGTGCAGACTGCACGTGGGTCTGTGGTGTGACTGGTTGGCTCTGGCTCAGTGAGAAGCAACTCTCTGCAGCTCTCTCTGTTCTTTTAGTGCTACACACCACGAAGAATCCATAATGCCGAGAGCAGTCAATTCAGCATATAATCTTAAACACATGCTCATTGTTATTTATTTATTTCAAGAGTTGAAGAATCTACCTTTAAGGCTTAAGTCTGTATTATTTTTGATATATGATATTGTGTATTTCATGTGCATATTCATCCATAGAGCGAGAGAAAGAGAAGGATTGTATATCAGAGGAATGATTGTAACAGTGAGGGATGACGCTGTCTTTTTCTTCTCCATTTCATCCAGGGTCACACTGCAGAGGTCCTCTCTCTGTGCTTCAACACGGTGGGAAATCAGCTGGTCACTGGCTCCTTTGACCACACCGTTGCTATATGGGATGTTGCTTCAGGAAGGTCAGACGCGATAATTGTTATTGCAATGTATGAATCGATTTCTGAATGTGTGTCGTTATTCATACTGTACAGGAAACGCAGAACACGAATAGATTCTGCGCATATGAGTGCACAACTGACTCATTGCTGCTTTTTTTCTGTTTTTCTCAGACGTGTCCACGCTTTGGTTGGTCACGGGGGGGAAATCTGCAATGTTCAGTTCAACTGGGATTGTTCCCTCATAGTCACAGGCTCCATGGACAAAACCTGCAAGGTAAGCTATCATCAGCCTAAACACCGAGTGTTTTATTACTCTTCCAAATACAATTATTTTGCCAAAAATGTCTCTTTCTGCCTGCAATTATTTAGCAAGAGTTTGTTATTCATTCATTATATTCATTAACATTTTAAGCTATTACAAAACAAGAGACGTGAGATTTATTTCCCACTCTGTCTCTCCCCACCCTTTCTCTAAGGTTTCCATCATTTAAAGGAGAAAAATGTAATCCTAATATGTTAATTATGCCACGATGAGTCATGCTCTGACAAATTATCCACCTCACTGTATTCCTCTCGGGGAGATGGTTAAAGTAAAACCACTTAATACAGCTTCCAGCTGTTTGCAAGTCGTTTTATGAGACTGTGAATGTTTTTCACAGTCTCACAAAAGGGTTTTGTATTATGTGTGTGTATTTGCAGTTGTGGGAGGCAGTCAGTGGGACGTGTGTGGCCACCCTAGTTGGACACACAGAAGAGGTGCTAGATGTGTGTTTTGATCTAAGGGGCCAGCTCATTGCTACTGCCTCTGCTGATGGTGAGACCAACAACCCACTTACTAACAGTGTACATTACCAGTAAAACGTAAAGTAAAATAATATATACGTGTGTATATATATATATATACGTATATAAAAAAGTAGAGTGCATGTACACAAATATCCCTGCCCGTCCCCGTCTCTTGTCAGGTAGAGCGAGAGTGTTCAGTGCAACCACACATCAGTGTCTTGTGACCCTTGATGGCCATGATGGAGAGATCTCCAAGGTAAGGACTTCTCATTTTAAGAAATATATAAAAAATGAGTGTATTTCTTACATTCTGTAACTATGTATGTATCCCGTAGGATTAGTTCTAGTGTATCTCCTTTAAGCTATCGAGCTAGCCGTATGGTCACAAAATCTTTGCTTGTGTTTTCAGCTTGTCATAGTGGAACAGAGTAGCACAGAAGTGAGTGAGGACCTATAGGCTCTTTATATGTAGCTGCATCAGAATTGTGTTTTTTGGATTTAGGAAATAGCACGATGCACATTTACTTCCCGTCAACCTTTGATATTAAAAAACATGGCAACAGGAAATATAATTGAACCCATTATTAGGTATTTATCTGACTGTTTCGGACTACGTATTATTATAATGGGCCATGGGACACATGGTACACATTGTGGATGCACCAGACAAGTTACAGGTGTACACATTTACTCTCAGTGGGTAGCTACATCTCTCCTGGTCAGGGCTGTGAGTAGGACATTGCCTCTACTTGCCTTGTTAATATTGGGTAAATGTGATGCTGAAGTAGAGGGACAGTAGTTCAGGCTTCAGGCTGTTTAGTGCTTACTGTCACATGGTAAAACTCTGCAAGTAGGACATAGGACTGTAGTAATCCTTCTGCTGATCTCAGTAATTGAATCTGTAGCTTCTGAGCTAGATGTTTTCTGGGTAGCTCTCCGTGAGAAATTACAAAAAATTGTAACCGCACATCCTCAAAAATAACTTGTACTGTTGTTAAAACATTGCCTGGCATTAGCTGAGTCCAACAAACACATACTCTGGCATTAGTTGTGTGTATGGTCTTTTTTTTTTTATACCCTGCACTGAACTTGTACTTTAGTGATTTTACCCATCTACCATTTTCCTTGCCTTGCTTTTCACAAGTGTGTGCGCGTCCTGCAGGTTCTGGCCCAGAGGGTTTCTATGTACAAGGGGCTTAGAGGTTACCTCTGTTTACTGAAACATCAGGCAGTCAGTAATACGTAGGCAGGGTGGAGGCACATTTGAGAGGATTAGGACACTAATCTCTCCCCAACAGGACACCTCTCCCTCTCTGCTTCTTAACCATGATGTTTTTATGCCTCCGCGACGGCCATGGCCGGAGGCATTACTGGTTGTCAGCCAGTGCCTCCCATTCTTGTGAACGCATTATCTCAGAAACGCCTTGAAGACATTTCGTCCATCAGGATGTACACAAAGGTCAAGGTCACTTTTTTCGTCCTACTATCCTCTGACTTTTTCGGATTGATTTTTTTTAAGATACTTTACAATGATTTTTTCAACAAACTATACTATGCCTTATTTTGTCATACTACACTGATTTTTTTTGACATACTATATTAGTATGCAATAGTGTTTTTTGTTTCCTCTTTCCTGATGCTTGAATTTCTCTCCATTTTGTGTTCTTTTGATAGCTTCAACTTTTATCTTCCATCTTTGTCAGCTCCTTCTCTTGTCATTTTCCATTTCCTGTCTAGGGTCACTCCTTGGTGCTCAGTTCAGAGTTTTAATCAAAACATACTTTACTCTTATGGCCATCTAGTGCCAGCTTCATTTAATTATCTCTTCCTGTACCTCACTATGGGGATAGAAACCCATTCAGGTAACAATAAACCCAGGCTCCAACACAATCAGCTTCAGCCATGACTTTTGTAAAGGTCTACTGTAAAAACTAAGTAGTGCCACTGGTGCCTTTATCCTCCAAGTATTAAAAGTTAAATGACCTATGTGGAATAATGTTGCTGATGTGTTAAGTGTTCTCATTTCCCCATCACTTGTAGCTCATTATCCTACGCTCATGTAGCACACACACACCTCTGAATAAAACGTACTCTCGTGCCTCTCTTGGCAGATCTGTTTCAGCCCCCAAGGTAGCAGGATCCTGACTGCCGGCTCAGACAAGACAGCTCGTCTGTGGGACGTTCAATCTGGAGTCTGCCTACAAGTCCTGGAGGGGCACACCGACGAGATCTTCTCCTGCGTCTTCAACTACGAGGGTGACACTATCATTACAGGTATACACTCACTCACTCACACACACTACATCTGATAACCATGCACTGGTAAACCGCAGCCTTGGGCAGCGAATAAACTGCTTCTGGCCAGCCGTCAGAAATGCTTAGATACCCATTTTAGATGAAAAGCTTGCAGCTGTGTCCTGCGCAGCCACCTGTTCTTGTTTGTGCTCTCCTACAGGCAGCAAGGATAACACATGCCGAATCTGGTACTGACCCGTCCCTTGACCCCTGAGAGGATCAGACGGGCATACACATGGACACAACAGCTCACCATGTACACCACTGTGTATATTTATGAAATACCTACTTCAAAATCTGAAGTCACTTTGAGGTAAAAGTCCGGTTTCTGACATCTGTGTAAGGTTAAAGTGGCTCATCCTCGCTTGATTATACAATGTGTCTCTCTGATGTTCCTCCTGTTACTCAATCAGTTTGAAGCTTCATTTGTTCCCTGACCCGACAGTTAACAGTAGTTTAGTCTAAAACTACGTTTTTGGAATAGTTCCGACATTTTGGAACAATTCTTGGACAAAGCTAGAAGGCTATTAGTTTAGCTTCAGCCTACTGAGCTGCAAACATCCCAAATGTTTTACTGTTAATGTTCATGTTCGGCTCATCTTCAGGAGCCCATTATCAGCTAACAAATTATTCTGATACTTTTGTTTCTACTGCCGTGTACGTTTCCGTGATGTATACGAAGCAGTATTTTCTGAAAGCACAATAAAATGCCAAATGTTTTTTTAATAGCTTCAAGTTCATCTCGCTGCTTGTTTACAACCAATGCAATGTAATACTGATGTGGATAAACAGTGTTCAGTTCCCTTCCTGCTGAATGTTACAAATAGATCAAGCCCGCTTGTATTTCACATCACAGAAATTTATTGATGTCAAAAGATAAATACATTCAGTTCTACCGTGACAGTTTACAGCTGAATTGTGTGCTTTCACCCCCCCCAACACTAGAGAACCACTCAGTGGAGAAATAAACAGACCTAATTCACGTACAAATTCAACATTACAAACCTCACTCTGTCTTCCTGACATAGTAAAAGCTAAAGAGAGCAGTCCACTACTCCCAGGTGCAGAAGATCCAAATCTACAGTATGTACAGTACAGCTATCCAAAATAATCAGTTCCCGAGTAACATGAAGAAGATAACATACTTACTTTGAACTGAATTTCAAGGTCACAACAGAGATGGTACGTTGGCCGATGAACACAACAAAGATATGGCCATCAGAAGAAGGTGAAAGAACTTTTTCTGGGCTTATGTTGATATAAAAGTTATGGGCATGTTGAGTTGTGTGGAGAATTTAACCTGATATATATATATATATCTATACTATACCTACAGTTTGCTTTGTTTCTGTATGTGTCGCACGAGAGAGGTGATTCTGAAATTAACCGGATTTTTTTATCTTGTTCGTGTTCATTGAAAATAAATATACTTATTTGGTTGTGAGAATCTGTAATAAAAAAACCAAAAAAAACCTGTATAGCTACAGTGTTTGTGTGCGTCTCACTAGAGAGGTGATTCTGGAGACGAAAACATGCTTTTCTTAAAGGGAGACTTGTCCATTCATGGCTGCCAAAAGATACTAAACACAACTTCAATGGACAGATTGAGGTGTAGAAGTTTCTCAAGTATGTTGATCGTGTTGTGCTTTCAACTTGCAGTAGGAGACATTGGTGTGATGAGACGGGAACGGGCAGACAAGTTAGGAACATGTGCGATGTTAGAAGTGTGAGCGAATACGTGTCTTTTTGTTTGCAGTAAGTGGAAGCTACAGGGACCTACAGCGTCTCCAGCAGCCAATCAAACAGGCTGGACAGAGACCGGCCCTCCTCTTCCTCTTTCTCATGTAGCTCACAGAACTGGACCACAGCGTTGAACAAGTCCGCAATCCGCCACGCCTTCTGAGACATCAGGTGGACCACCCTCTGGAACTGAGAGAAGACACATGGGATTCATTTTAGGTTACATCAGAGACTCACGTTAACTTCAACAGTTACTGTACAATGATTGTAAGACAGCACAACTAAACAGTCTTACTGTGATAAATGTCATAAAAAAGTCACATAGTAATGTAATAAAAAATATAATAGAACAGTATGGCATAAATGTCCCAAAAAAGTCATACAAAAAAAATCATGAAAAAGTCAGTGTAGCATGTCAAACATAATTCATAAAAAATATAGTATGCCATAAAAATGTAATTTAAAAGTGACATTACAAAGTCATATTTATGTAAAAAGAATGCATTAATGTAGGGTTCATCATTTTGCATGTGCATTGGGGATGTGGGCTCATGACCTCAGTGGGAATAAACTGTACAGTACAGCCCTGAAACAGGGTTAGAATAATCAAACAAAACATTATTTGAAAATTATTGATTGATGATGATTGATCGGACAGCTGTGCCTACCTTTGCGACCCTCTTCTCTTTGGACTTCCTGAAGTAGAGAGCAGGAAGGCCCAGCTCGGAGGCAGCGATCCACTGCAGGGCCACTCTCAGCTCGGAGTCCACGCACTCGGGCTCGAGGTCGCAGTTCACCACCAGCAGCACCCTGAGGTTGCTGCTGCCGCCTGCTGCTGCTGCTGTCCTCTCTGAACCGCCCTCTGAAAAATCAAAAGGTGACAGGAATGCACTACTGTTTTTCTTCTCTAGCATAAAGGGACAACTACAGCATTTTGTTGTCATCATTTTTACGACAACGAATGAACCTGATGTTTGTGTGTTTATTGTCTTATAAAGGTTGAATTGCTTTGTTTTTTGTGTTTCCTCTTACTTTATTGTGCTTGTTTCGTTTCTAGTTATTCATTTTTGTTTGTATTGTATGTTAGGACCCTTCGAAAACGAGGGTTCAATTGACGTGTACAATAACACCATCAATGTTGAATATCTACACCATCAAAGCAACGCACAGACATTCCATTCCATTCTATTCTATTCTTGCTTGAACACCAAAAGCCAACGTGCCAAACCTTTGCATGAAATATGCTTTTCACCAAATATAAAAAGGGCCATTCAACAAAGTTGAATGTTGGAGTCATTCAACAAAGATTGATTTTGTGTTCGGACACTTCTGAAACGATGGGCCCTTCTTGATTTTTGATGTCCATCCTTAATTCAGAGAGAAGAATTGGCCTCTATTCAAGCATTCATTTGAGGGTTTAATCCCGATCATGCTGTACATGGACTCAACCGCTCTTGGTTAGTAGACAGATGTTACAGCTGATGTGAATAATTAAGAAGTTGATAACATTGCGATGACATTAGAATCCATCGCTACACTTACCGAAGACATTTTCCTTTGTTCCTGCTAGATGTCCTTTCTCTGTCTGCTCACTGTGAGGGGAAAAAAACAACAATTGGAAGTCACAGTAGACTATACAGACAGTATCACGAAACGAATAGTTCAATATTTTGGGAACTTATTCACTTTCATGCTAAGAGGAAGAGAATAACTCTTATGTCAGTACGGTAAATATGAAACAACGGCTAACAGCTGGTTAGCTTAGCATAAAGACTAGTTGATTCCCACTGTTTCCAATCTGTCTCTGTCCAAAGGTTTAACAAAATCCGGCATATCTAAAACTCACCAATTAACACGTTACATTTTGTTTGTTTAATTCGTACAAAAAACGAAATGTAAAAACGACACATTATGGGTTTACAGGGAGCTTTATGTGTCGGACTATTACACCTAACTTGCAGCAAAAAAGCCATATGTTTCCCAAAATATCTAATGCTATTTAATATTCCTTTATTAATGTAAATTGTTAATCTGATTGTGTTTTAAGATGTGTTTTTAAAGAGTTGAGAGATAGATATAGATACAGTAAAATAGAAGAAATGCAGCAGACTGAAGAGGCTTTGATGTCTATTAAACAGAACATTATTATCTCCGCTAAATGACAGAATATGTAATTGGCTATAATCTGTCATGTGCAGCCTGTCACAGTCACATGACACCTGATTGCTGTGCTCTAGGTGAGAAAATAAAATCTAATATCTACAGACTCTGTCGTATTAGAAAAAAAAGTCACTATGGGCATCAGAGAGACACATTAACGAGAAAGACTTCAGCAGCGGCCTGTGACAGCGACAGTTACCCAATTACTGTGATCTGAGCGGGCACGTCAGAAAAAGCATCCAGGTCTGCCTGGCCTAGGCTTGACGCGCTGCTGGTCCCGTTCCTGTTAACCAATAAAAACAGACGGCGTCATTTAAACGTTATCTCAAGACGTCCAACCACTGACGCGTGAAGAGGACAATAACCAGGCGCAGCGATGCAGGACATGTTGTTAATTAGCTGGTGATTAACATATAAATTGCAGCTGCAGCGGAATCGGACCTTTAGGGTGGGGGGGAAGCTGGCGATTTTTCGTCCAGCAGCAAGCCTGTCTGGTAATGAGGATGAGCAGACTTGGAGGTAGTTTAGGGCGGATAAGGTGGACAGCCGGGGCTGGCAGCCGAGCCCTTGTTTCACAACATAGATCGGGGAAATGAGGTGAAGTTCAAATAAGCAGGTAGATGGAAAGGTTGCAAGAAGCGGCGAGTGTTATGGTGGTGCAGGCGACTACTGCGGCTAATTAAGCATAAAGCACATAACTAACATAATTGCCACGCTGAGCAGTTTCCCCTTTCCTCATCTTAATCCACGCGTCTTCAGAAAAAAATGCATATAATATAATAATAATATGCAATTTATATTCGGTGTTTGTCATGTAATTTGGTCCATAATCACAATGTTTTTAACGTAAAGTGAAAACAGGGCAATTTAGACTGTTAGCTTATTTCAACTAGCATCACAGAGCTGTGACTCAAATTTGAAAAAGTTGGCAAAACAAATGAGAATTTGATGAAGTAGAGAACGGTGCAGCAAATGTTCTGAACGGGGTTTTGATGCCAGAGGTAACCGCCCGGTGCTGCATGTAGTCGTGCATGGGGGTGCAGTCGACGTCTAGTCCTGTATGCGAGCTATGGAGAGGGCTTCGTGGAGTCAGCTCTCTGCCATATACTGCCTCAGCAGGTGTGGATATTGCAGCAGCAGCGGGGAGTAAATTGGCATTGGCACAGGAGAGCACAGGTGTCAGTAGCAATGGGCCAATGAGAGTGGGGTGAGGGTGGGAGCAGCAGCGTTTGGAGCAGTATCAATGAGCAACGGTTACTGACCCCTCGCTCAGCTGGATAAAACTACTGGTCTCCTCGTGGGGGTCATCCTCGGGGGTTATATGGGACCAGCTCCCCATGCTCTCTTCACTGCTAGCGCTCATTGAACGCTTGTCGCTCTTCACTACTGCAGCCACCGCCACAGTTGGCCTGTCCCTCTCACTGCTGGGGAGAGCAAACCGCAAGATGGTTGGGAATGACCATCGAATAGTTTTTGCACAATGTCTTCTGCAATGTTTGGTTACTTTGGCCCCAATGTTGTTCCTCTCTGTTCACTGTTCATGTAAAGAAAATGCATTCTGAGGAGTGAAAGCAGTATCGGGGCAGTTTCGGCTTTAGAAATCATAGATACAGTGCAGGAACTTCATACAAATGACAAGCCTTTGGAACTTAAAAATAACTACGCACCACATAAAAAATAAGCTAATTAATTTTAATATTTTTAATGCATCAGCCAGCTGCACTCCCCGAGGTTTTTCCGTTCCTCAGGCAACATTCAATTAAGTCATAATCAGATAATCGGGGGATGCCATCCTTGTCAATTCTAGAGGGAAATCCGGTGGGATTGACTGGGCGAGTAAATGAGTTCCACTCTTACACAAGGGACAAGTGGATTCACTCCACTCGTTCCTGGATTACATGTATTGTAAAGTGAATAGGAGCGTGTCTTGTGACTCCTGAGGCCCTGGAGCCTTTCAGCTGTTTCCCTCTGATTCAGTATCGAAAAAAGTCTTATTTTGAGGATCTGAATGTCGTTAAAACAACAAAAAAAACAACAGATCGCAAATGATTCCCCATATATGAATATTACATTTCTACTTTCCTCTACATATTCTGCACATTAGCACCTCTTTCCACTAATCCAATTTCAGCAGGTTCATTACCTTCAGAATATCCACTAAAATGTCTTCCGGTGTCTACGCTCTCCTGCCTTCTCTGAAAAGCCACTCAGACATTTGAGTTTCTAGAGTTAGAGTGAATTTTACTTGTTTGAATTAAAAATGCAAGACTGTCTAATATATATGAATCATAAGGGCCCTTAGTACAATTGAACTGACTTCATATAAACACCATTTTTCAGCTAACCTGCTGCCAAACAACTTCTATCGAGCAAACCTTTAATCTAAAGTGACACCAAAAGTCTTTGCTATTTTAGTTGTGTCAACGTAGTCTAAATAGCTATTGAGAGTCTTGTGGTTTTAGTGGGTAAGCCAAGTGTGAGTGCAGCTTGTACCGATCAAGGTGAGTCGAACAGCCCCATAGTGGATAAAAGATGAAGCTACTAAAAGCTTTCTGCGCACACACAGTTCACGACCCAGACGGTGTGATTTACAGCCTATCCAAAGGTTTGTCAAACCTCACACACTGCTAAAAATAGATCACTTTTCACAGTGAATGGACCGTCTGCGTACCTGCCACTCGTTAAAAATAACGTGTGGTGTCTTATTTCTCACTGCTACTCTTGTCAGACATATTGATCTCTAGTTTTCTCATCTACAGTGTGATGATTATAAAAAACATTCACTACCTGTTGCCCGTAGCTCTCTCTGTTCGCTTGGTGGCCGACACTTCTGGGGGAGTTTCCTGAGGTCCTCCTACTCTCCTTTCAGGGTTTAAAAGAGTCTCTTCATCCCTCTGATCTCCCTCGATATGGATCAGTGGCACATCTCTGGGGCCCCTCATACGGGGTGCGCTGCCGTCACTAGTCCCGGACCCTACTCCAATACCAGTTTGCTCCTGACTGGACCTACTTCGACCACAAGTTAGATGAGACTGTTTGAACCCCCTCCTCCTTTCACCAACAGGCATATACGGCTGTGAGAGTGACCCAGGTGTACCCCCAGCTACATCTTGCTGCCCCCCCAAGGCAGACTTCCCAATATCCACAATGTCAGCCGCCAGGCGATTGGCAAACTGCTGCACGTGGGGCTGAGAGTCTCCCGCGGCCTCCAGCTCGATACTGTCCTCTGGATCAGCAATGATCTTGTTCTTTCTCATCAAGGACTCGATGGAGCTCGACCAGGTCTCATTAATCAGCATGTCTGTAATCTGGTCAGTCCTACCCCTTTGATAGAGGCAGGAGTCCGACTTACACAGTCCTGTGGCTGACACTGAGTTGGTGTGGAAGATATTCAGGGTTTCTCCGTGCACATTGCGGGCAAATCCGTCAAAAGAATTGGCCTTTATTGGTGAGTTGACAGTCAGTCTCGAGTCGGAGGAGCGCCGGTCTGGGACAGAGGACTGTCGTATACAGAAGGGTGTTCTAGGAGAAGGTGGGAACAGGCTGTTGCTCCACTCCTTAGTCTTGGCGATGCCATACTCTCTGTTTTCCTTGTCCATGTCCCGAAGCATGAACCTGTAGAACTCCTCTGTGATACTCTCCGTGCTCGACTGTTTGGACAGGCAGGATGACGTCCTGACATTAAGGTGACCGTTTTTCTTTGATGCAGCCTGTTGTACAGCTGCAGTCAAAATGCTGCTGGCATTTTTCCCTGCATAGTAGTCCAGCAGAAGGTCAAAGCCCCTGCCCTCGGTCTCCATCTGGTTTACCATGAACCGTGAAAACTCATCTGTGATGCTCTCACAGCTGGACTGCTTAGAGATTGAGCTACCACGGCTCAAGTTCTGACCTAACCGACTGCCAGGGCCCAATGTGTTGGGTGTGCCTGTGGGGTCTGCGTCTTCTTCTGGAATGCTCTCATAACTAGAGGCCTTCCCACGGCTCCACCTCTCGCACTGCAGCCTGCTGCGTGGCTGGCCTGTTTTAGAGGTGTCCACCACGTTAAGCTCAGGGCAGTTCATGATCCTGGCCGTGACTTCAGAGGCAAAGAGGGCAAATGGGTCCTGTGGCTCATCTAGGTTTACCGATTCGTCCACCACCCGGTTCACCAGCCGCTCCATCAGCTCTGGTTGCTCCTCCGTCTTCCTCTTGATCTCACTGAGGCGCGGTGCCCGGTGTTTCTTGGAGGCAGCATTGCTGCTCTGAGCTTCTTTCCTCCTGAGCACTGTGCGGCAAGCAGGGATCAAGTAGGCTTCTGGCCCTTCGGTAGACGTCCCTTTTAGGGCACAGAACCAAGGTTGTTTCCCAGTGTTGTTTTCGAGGCAGATGGCGGCCAGCTCTGTGGCCATAGACACGACTGTAGCAGCCAAATCATCGGCATAGCAAGTAATAGGTGTCCTGGACTCTGAATCCATTCTCCAAGAAAGCAGAGAACTGCAAGAGTTGAGGGAGGACTGGGGTGTGAGGGAGGACTGGGGTGTGATGGAGGACTGGGGTGTGAGGGAGGACTGGGGTGTGATGGAGGCCCGTCTGCTGTCACTGCCCGTCACTACACGTCCCCTCCTGTCTGTGCTATGAACTTGGATTTCACTCAAAGGTTCTCTGATGGTACCACCGCCCTGCTGGATCTGCTGGTGTTCAGAGAAGTCCTTGGCAGGCAAATAGGTGGATTTACACTGACTTTGTCTGCATGACGACTGCTGCTGTTTCTCTTTATCTGTGCTGTGTAGGATGCTGCACTGGTTCCAACTATTAGTGGACTGGCCTAGGCCAACTAAGCACTGTAATTCACTTAAGGGATCCTTGCTCTCCTTGGTGGTAGAAGGCTCCCTGGCACAAGTATTACCCTCTTGTGTCTCGTAGGACCCTTGGTCACCTCTAGAGATATGACAGATTTTCTTCTGTGTCAGACAAAGGATATCAAACAGCAAATTGTTAACACTGTCCTGCAGAAACACCTGAAGGCCCGGTGCATCTTTTCCATTACCCTCCAGTTCCTTTTTCTTTTTTGCTTTCTCTAGAGCATGTGTGAATAGGCTGTCTGCCACCTCATTTATTAAGTCATCCACTTCTCTTTCATCCATGTAGGATTGTTTTGGACAAGTAATACCATCTACTATCTTGTTATGCGTGGCCTCCAGCAGGTGGGCTATACTCCTGTAGCCTTGCGGCTGAGTCAGAACCTCAGCTGCTTCCCTGTGTAGGACCTCAGCAATGTTCGCCCGAAACGCTTCGACGCTGGTACCTTCTGCTACACTGCAGTGCAGTGTGATGGCTGCAGAGGCTTTGGCAGCCGACATCAGACCACAGGATGCCGTGTGGACTTCAGCGGAACCTGCATGAGAATCACCGCACTCCCCTGACTCCTCGGTTAGTTCCACAGCCGCTACAGCACCAGCTACCTGAGCCATGCCACACATGGCTGAGGAGAAGGAGTAGTCACCTCGATCCTCTCGTTCCGGCAGCTCCTCCTCTTCCGCGTCTTCCTCTGAGGCCGATTCCATGGCAAGCTGTTCTGTCAGCAGCGGGTTGGTAATGGTGCCAATGACACTGGCAGCACAAGCCAAAGCCACCTCTACATGTTTGGATGGGTGTCCTCCACTGTGGTGGGGGATTTGAGCCTGTGTTCTATTCCCTGGCAGCTCTTGGGCTTTGGCAGTGATATCCTGGTCAGGCACATGAGACACCTGGGTCTCTGGCCATTCTGCCGCTCCGTCTGAACTGTCTGGGCTTTGAACTATCACAATCTTGGGGAGTTCAAAAGAGCAAGTGCGCTGCTGGGAAGGTTCTTTGGTCTTTGAAAGACGAGTAGCGTTGGAGGTACGACCAGAGAGGGACAAGCTTACAGCAGCTTCGGAGACAAAGGAGGTTTCGTCTTGAGAGAGGCGTATGAAGGCGTCTTGCAGTACCGATTCGGCCAGATTGGTGGCGTAGTGACCAGCTGATTCCTTAGTATGGAGGCTTGCTCGCTGATTCCTGTCTTTTTTCAGCTCTGCATCCTCCCTGTTCTGATAATGGGCCAGCTGTCCCCTCTGACATGCAAGTCTGACACCATGTTTCTGCGCAACCTCTACCAAGCTTTCTGCCAGGTCACCACTCTCTGGTTCTGTGAGGAGACAGAGAAAAACAGAGAACGGCAGGGAATGAAACATGTCCACACTGATTAGAAAGCAGCTCTATCAGTTCCAAAGTGTCACAGAAAGCAAACCCGTGGAAAATTAGAGCTGGGTTTTGTCTCGTTTGTCCCGTTCAATTTCCCCCTGCACATTTCATTCATCACTGGGGTAACACATGGGCAATAAATACAAACTGCTTTCTTGTTTATACATTCTCAGTCACGATAAAAATCTTTCAACGTATCTTACTTTGACAAGAAAGTATTTTGCTGGCCTTAAAATTCCACATTATCTCTAATTAATGCAGTCGGAGGACTCCCACTGTTATCATCAACCAATGGGCTATGGCCTAACTAACAATGAGCCAGTGATGTTTCAACACTACCATTGTAAACACTACAGTTATAAGAACCATAACAAAGCACTAGTAACCACTTGGATATGGATAGTTTTCAAGTTTTGAATTACTTTACCACATCAAAACAAGTTTTGGAACAGCCACTTCATGCTGAACAGTATGTGGTCAAAGCTGTGTAGTCGAGATACCGACCAACAAATATGGCTGCAAACAAAACCCTCTATGGTGGAGGTAATGAGGCTCACCATGTCTGAAGCCGTCGTCCTCGCTGTCATCACCGAGGTGTTCTGAGGCAGTGAGGAAGTCTTCTTCTATGGACGAGATGGAGCGATTCGTGTCGTCGTCGACCCGCTGCCTGGCTGCTCGGCCCTGCTGAAGCTGCCGCTCCTTCCCCCACTGCAGACCGATCAGGAACTTGTTGATCTCAAAGATGATGTTGCCAGGTTGGGTGGAGCGTCTCTGCCCTGAACACTGAACCAGGCACACACCTGTATTTCTCTGCTGCTGCTGCCCACCCTGAATGGAACATGTACAGATACCTGTTATACATGCGCACACAAATAAATACACACACACACACACACACAGTCACAAAATATGAGATATATAATATCAAACATCTTGAACCTTCTGACTCGGTGAGTTTATGGTGCTCTCATGCCTGTTTTTCTTTCTTTTAATCAATACAGGATACTATTAACTATAATTGTAAACTCATTGGATCTCCTCATGCAAGTTTAATAGGCTGTGCAGGCTCCTCAGGCCGTGTATTGATTCTTCAATGGCTTTATTCAATGATGTATTTGGTGAGCTTCAGAAAGTCTATGTGATGATCACTGGCTGTAAGGGAACACTGCATTTAAATAAAAATAAAGGCAGTAAAGGATTTTATTTAGTAGCTATTGTTTTTTTTATGTCTGTTTCAAGTTTAAAATGATTCTGAAATAAATCGTTTTCATATAAGTCATCCATTCTGGATGTTTTTCTGTCTAACATGCAGTTCTATGTTTTCATTGGAGTGAATGGGGAGAGTTACTAGATTAAATGAGGTTCCTCCAGTGGATTTGTCCTAGCACAAAAGGTTCAAATCTAATCACACAGAATTGCGTTAAAAAACAGCTTGCACTTGCTGCCTCGCACTCCCGGTCAGTTAATTCAAAGGATGAAAATACTTGCAAGGGTTTATAGTGAACACCGCAAACTCACCTGAGAGGGGGTGAGTGGGTGTGTTTGGCAAGTATCTGAGGCTTCTAGGCCACCGAGCAGTAGGATCTCGTTTTCTTTCGGCTGGTGGACAGTCAGCAATTCAACAAGCTTTGGCAGGTCTGGAGACACTGAGGCCAATTTCTGCAGGAGTTACCGAGCACAGGGAGAGAGAGAGGATAAAAAAAAAAAAAAAAAAAAAAGGCTTTTCTTCAAGCGACTTCAAAACTGAACATAATGCGATCTCTGTTGTTTTAAATTCAGAGGCACATCATTTTAAAATTGAGAAGTCTCGAGCCATGTGCAATTCTGTTACCACCAGCTGCAAAAAGGCTGCATATTATCGAAACAAAACAATTCTGGGTAATGATTCTGAATCCATGGCAACTGAGCCAATGATTATATGCGAAATACAGAGAACAGAGTTCCTGGGAGACGAAAAGCGGTCAGGAAAGAAAAGGGACGAGGATTCTGCTCACCTTGATGCTTTTGTCGTCACGATAGTCCGATTTTTGAGGGTCCAGATTTACAAAACAGATCTGAGAGAGACAAATAGAGAAGAAAAACATATTAGAGTGACAGTGGGAGTGGGGAAATTATGACAGAGCTAAATAATATCCCAGATGTTAGATGCGAGAGTGCTGTAAAAGGGAAAGTTACTTCACTGCACAAATCCTACAAACCAGACAGAATGATAGCTTTCCTCTAAGTGACTCAACTACAGCAGCTGTCTGTCGCATCTGAATAACCACTGTCAGGCACTTTCTCTCATTGGCAGAGCCCTTTCTAAAAAGACCTTCTTGTCTCTCAGGGGCTTCTAGCAGCAGTGATTTTTTCTTTCTGTCTCCATCTCTCCTTTTCTATTCCTCCGTCTCCACTCCTTCATTGTGCCTCTGTCACACCCTCTGCCTCCTTCTCTTTTCATCTCACCATCCTTTTGCCTCTGCTGGCTGCACATTTAATGGTGTGTGATGGAGTCCTCATGTCAGTGCTGGGAGTCTGGGACTGTCCGCCGGCTGCCGTTTGATTGTACGGCGCACAGCCTCTGATCTGAATTGGCAGAGCCGAGTCAGTCCTGTGTAGCTAAATGGATGAAGCGCGTCACCGACAGCATTTGAGGGGCGGGGGGAGGGGGGGTTGGGGGAGTTAGTTCCCACTAACTCGCACATACTCAGCATGTGTATGCATGTAAATATGACATATTTGAGTCTTGAGCACGTACATATTATATACTGTATGTCTAACTTAATGCTACCATACTTGTCATTACTAATCAAACCGAATGTGAGTCACTGATGCAGTCTCGGTCTTTTCATTGCAAAACATGCACAGGTGGGATGCTGCAGTCTCCTTTTTAGCTCTGCCGTCTCCATATCCGCTCTGCCTGCTGCTATCCCTCCACCCCACTTCTCTCCTCTATAGACCTGCGAAAAATATATATAGTTTCAAAATCAGTCTCCAGTCTTGACACACACCGCTGTCTGAAATAAGTTCCCTGGAGCTGCGCTTCCACTCATTGGGCGAGGCTTCTGAAGAGCCTCAGCGCTTGTGAGATAGTGTATACTTTCCATGATTTTCATCTTTTTTTCCCATTTATCTGTGTTACGTTAAACACGATGTATTCCCTGAAAGTCATGTCAAGGTTTAGGTATAGATCCAGCATCAATGTGGTGTAGATTCAGAACCATTTCTTCTTTTAGAATCATGTCATGTTTTCAGTCTGTTTTCTCACTGCAGTTCTGAAAGTAAAGCAAAATAACTGCTGCATTAAATAGGTCAATATACTCGTGAGTTTATATTTCAAAATAAGGCGATAATTCTGTGACACTTTGCATATTTCCCGTACTTTCGATTGACAGTCTGGGTTTGCTCTATCAAAAAGCTGAGATTAAGAAGGAACGATATCAGGGAACAACAACAACTGTCTAAAGTCAGTTTGAGTGTCCTTCAGCTGAAACGGTAATGCGCTGTATTCTGAACAGGTCAATTTCCCCCTCATCTCCGATCTGGTGTCCTCCAGTAAAAACGTAATATTTCCAAACTATTAGGTGTAATGTGAGGAAAATTGCCGCTTGTCAAAAATAGGAAGCCAATGACAGATGACATTAAAAGAATATTTGAAAAAGGTTTTCCAGCCTCACCCTGATCAAACCTCATCTGCCCTTCATGGATTGCATGTGTCACCTACAGCACTTATCGGAATACCAAGAGGCTTGCTCCTTTGTCTAGTCAGTGTGGAGCACAAACAGTTTGTTTATTTGCTCGTCTGTCGTGTGATGAGGACCATTTTGTCCGATTAGCTGTTAAATGTCAATGGCATACGCAATAGGACCCGAGATGAATCTACACCATTTACTGATGGACAATAGCTTTATTGTGCCACTTGCTGACCCTAGTTCGATAGACAATATGGCCATTGAATTCGGTTTTTAGTAATTTTGAAGAGTTCTTACATGCTATTGTTTGTGTTGCTGATAACATGCATAGAATAATGTTTTTTAATTCGATTTTTGTTCTGTATCTGGATGCAGATATATGCCCTTTATCTAAATGGTGATGCGCTATGAACAAAGAATGACCTCATGGCTTTTCCCTACACTAGGAATGCACAAAAAAAAGAAAAGGCTATAATTTGATATTTGGTGGTTAATTTTCAATTTCTATCCAATACCACAACATATAAGTAAGATGTTTGGCACCTCGGCAATATTCACTTGTACTAATATTGGAAGTCATTCCGGAAAAGCAGCAAAGACACCTTCCCCCGCCTGCCAACACATCGCCTGCACATAACACACAGTTTGAGGAGAAGCGAGGCGAATGATCCACGATTTTGTCCTTGAGAAGGGTTGCAGCAATTTAACCCCATCAGACGGTGAGAGCCGAGAGGTAGTTGTTCTAAATTTGGGAAGCAGAGGACCTTGTGGTCATTTCTGAGTCCATGTGCGAGACGAGCCCAGGGACACGCTCCCATTCCATCAGGTTTTCACAGACAGACTGGAGGACGTCCACTTGTGCGCCAGCCTGTCTCTGAAGGGCTGACCACGTAAACAACAGTGAGGGTGAAAGGAAAACAAATATACAGACAGAGAAGGTAAAAGTAATAATTTGATGTGTGGATAAATCGATACCATGGAAGTCTAGTGACACACTCAAGGGCTTGAGTAGTGTTCCAAAAGAGGGAGACAGTCATAACACGTTAAGAAGAAGTTGTGTTGACTGATACATCACTGATTTTCCTTCTTTTTTTAAGTTTAGTTAACTATAACTACATAGTTACACCTGCAGTAACAGATTGTTTGGCCATTTTAGATCAATATTCACTCTCTGTGTTTTGTCTCCACCAACTCCTGAGAAACATATCTGGCATTTCAGCTGCTAAATGCTCCACTATGTTGACTAGCTCGTCGCTAACGTTGTCTGTTTGCTGTGTGGTGTTGAGCAGGTAGAGCATGGTTGTACTCTTTAGCGCTTTGTTACTACTATGGGAGTGGTGAGAGTGAACCAATATGGCAACATTGTGGGCAGGAAAACCAAAACAATTAACTAAAAGAGTCCTGGGTACATCATTACAAGCTATCCTTTCACATTAAAGTAATCACTGTTAACACAAAAATATTGATTATACACATTTAAAAGGTTAGGTATTGTGGTCGAGGCTGAAAAAATGTTTGTTAGATGACATCCATCCAACCAAACATCCTCACTATCACTTTTTGCAGCAGCACAAGTTAATGATAATATGTACTTTGCTACAGAATACATAAATAATATATATGCTATTTTAAGCTGTTCAAACAACCAATCCAATACACACAGCTTTATGTGGCGTCAACAGTCCGGCTGCAGCAGAGGTCTGGGTCTCTGCATCTTTTTTGCTTCACTAGGCGCGTAACTCTTACAGCTGTGCTCAACATCGGCCCCGACAAACAAACTCAGGGTGACTCTGACCACCTGAGCTGATGGACCAAATGAAAGCCAGATAGTCCTGGGTTTCATCCAGTATTGATGCAGAAATTGACTGCAGATAAATCCTGACACTGTGGATGTTGAATTACCTCAAAAACTTGGGTAGAATGTCAGTATTCAGCCATTTTTCTTCAAGAAAAATTCTGTCAGTTTTCTGTTCAGTTTGCAGAGCTGTTCACGGACCCAACAGCCAAATGCTCGAGTATTGTTGGAGGCACAGTGTGTGTTGGTGTGTGTGTTCCAGACCCCAACAATGCACGCACACGCACACGCACACACACACACACACACACACACACACAAAAGGATTTAACTGTCCCAACTTATTTATGCATAAATCCCGTTTGGCCTTGGATGTACACAACTGTCAGGCAGGCAGATTGCTCTCTTTCTTCTAGCACACATACAACTGGAGCTTATGCAGCTACTTCGCCACAGTTCCAATACAACACTATGTGCACAGACTTCGGTCAATACAGCAAACCATTACAAACATCTGAGACTCCTTTGTCCATGAAAGCTTTATTCTTCCTCAGCAGCACTTTGTCTCTTTGCTCACTACTCTGATCCGCCCACACACACTTGGTCCTTCTGTCTTCCTTTTTAACTGTGGCTCTTTTTTGCTCTTTTTATTGACTTGAAATACAGTAGTTTTGCTACACTGCACATTTAGTCCTTTATATACGCTATGCTTGTTTTGTGTGGTCTTTCTTGCCCAAAGCAATGAAATATGGCTACTTTGAAGACTAAAGAAAACAAAAGTAAGCTAATATCCCCCCACAGCCCCCGTGATGCTCTACTGGTGCTGCATTGAAAGTGTCCCTAATGCTGTTACAAAACTACGGGTTCATTCTCACTCTGAGGTCACGAAACTAAATATAGCTCCCCCTATTTTGAAGTGTTTTGACATATCTCAGAGGTTGGCAACTATAATTATAATCCATTTGAAGTTTAATTTAATTCAAATGAAGTTCAAGGGGGAGGACGACAACATTAAGGCTCAGTGACTCGGCCGTATTCATTTCGCGATGCAACCCACAAGCTATACAGAGCTGGTGTAGAGACCAGACAAGCATGCTAATCACACATACTGGTGACTGTAAACAGCCTCATTTTGTGTTCATAAATGTGGGTGTGTGCTGAAAAAAATGCACAACATCAGCTGTTTACGGAGCATAACATGAACTATCATATGATGATTTACCTCCGACTGAGCTGCTTCCAATCTATCTATTTTACCACTGAATGTAAAAAACTTTGAATACACACACACACACACACACACACACACACACACACACACACACACA